TCACCAATTCGGGCAGATCAAGCCCATAAACAGGTTGATCAGCTGCTTCAGAACACTCTTTACCTATTATTTTACTCGACCCAGTCAGAGCGAATGTAAAGGGTAACCCTGAGAAGTGCTGATAGATGCGACTTCGCACCCCATTCTCTAAAGTGATGTGACTTTAGATTTGCACCGTGCATGTCCCCGTCGACTGATCTTGGCTACGACTTGCATGGAGATGGCAGGATATTTGAAATGTGGAACTCGTCCAATTTTAGACCAAGATCACAATCATATTACGACCACTGATAGAAAAAGTACACGCTACATGGGTGCCCGACAGGAGGCCCGTCGCGCGGCAAAAATATAACAGTCAGCGGACGAGTCGCAGCGCGTACTGTAGTGATTTCGCGTCAAGTTAAAGAATGGCATTGTACGTCCTACATCGCACATCACGCGCTGCGACTCGTCCGCTGACTGTTATATTTTTGCCGCGCGACGAGCCTCCTGTCGGGCACCCATGTAGCGTGTACTTTTTCTATCAGTGGTCGTAATATGATTGTGATCTTGGTCTAAAATTGGACGAGTTCCACATTTCAAATATCCTGCCATCTCCATGCAAGTCGTAGCCAAGATCAGTCGACGGGGACATGCACGGTGCAAATCTAAAGTCACATCACTTTAGAGAATGGGGTGCGAAGTCGCATCATCAGCACTTCTCAGGGTTACCGTTTACAATCGCTCTGACAGGGTCGAGTAAAATAATTGGTAGTGTTCTGAAGCAGCTGATCAACCTGTTTATGGGCTTGATCTTCCCGAATTGGTGAGACCGTCGGCATGTGCCTGATCGCATGATATGGAGGGTAAGCAGACGCGTCATCTATATAACAACATCCCATAGAAAATTGTGGGTTTTTGATTGTGATTTTAAACTATTCTGAAACCTTCGTTAGCGACAGTTGTACCTAAAGGCACTGGTCACGATGGCTGGGGGTGTTGCGGCTCGGTGACGTCATCGGAACCGCGCCGCCCCAACCATCGTGATCATTGCCTTTAACTATTTGTATGAATATCCACGCCCCAATATTTGTTTTGTGGATCGATAGCTTTTGATTCACGTACTTGATAATTTGGTGCAGGTTTTACTTGTAATATTATTATTTCAGTTATTTTAATTATTCTATGTAAGTATCGTTCATTCAGCACCAAAGGCGGAAATCGTTAAGAGTCTATAAGTATTGTTATTGGTTGGATTATTGCAGTCAGTTTTGACTTCAGTGTTTTTCTAGAGACCTCAATTTTTGATAGGAAACCCGTAAAGGGAACAGAATTTGTTTGTTGTGTGTGTGTGAATGTGTATTACACAACCTTTTCTATTTACGTCATTTATTAATAATATGTAATAAAGTCGTCAATGTTTTTACTTTGTCGCCATCCTTTCCTTCACCATTTGAAGACAAGAAAAAAGGGAGGAGAGAGAAGCAAACAGCACAATTGAAAACACTTAAATTTGACTTGGGAGGTCGGCCGTGGTATGGCGGAGAGACACAGCGCTGCGAGGAGAGGGAAAACACGAGATAGCGCGGCGAGAAGGCGCAGACGCACGCATGCCGCGATTGACAAAGGGGCAGCGCCGACAGCGTTCAAGGCAAGGCTGTCTTGCACTGTCACGCGGTTTTTGTGTGTGTGTGTATGTTGTTTCCACGACCACACCAAGCCAGTATTTTATGCGTACAACCTCAAACTTGGGTAATTAAACGAGTAAACAACTTGTAAACATCAACAATAATTAGTAACAAGGCTACTAAAGTCCCTAAAAGGAAATGAGAAAAAGTGGGTGCCGAGGACGGCCCGGGTGGCCTTTTATACCGTCGGGTCTGCAGCCAATTCCCGCCAGATCGTGCTGTAGGTCGTCCTGCGGTTGATCATGGAGTCGTGTTATCCACGGCAAAGGTCTCGGCACCCTTACCGCGCACTTTAAAATCGTGGCTCCTGTGCATGAGGACCTCTCTTCCTCACTCTAGGATGGAGTACCTCTTAGCACCTAGCCTGAACCGTGGCTGTACGGGTCACCAGAAGGGTTTCACACTGGCCAAATTCTCTTCAAGACGGGTTTTGCCCTGCTTGGTGGTACCTCTACAATCTCTTGGTGATTCTATTACTACCACCTATCTTTCATGATGAATACGACCTTACGAGGAGTCAACCAGAACTCAAGAAGAAGATTCACTTTGCTTGCAGTCATTTGAAATGAATGCATATCACCTGATGGGGCGGAAGTGGTGTAGTGGCAAGTGGCACGCTTACCACGCGAGCGGTCCGGGGATCAAATCCTGGGTCGTGAGTCGCCCGGGCCAACCAAGCCTTCCATCCCTCCGGGGTCGGTTAATTGGTACCAGACTTGTCTGGGAGGATAAAAACACTGACTTGTACATCGGCTGGCCCCCGCAAGTCATTGTATAGGCCACATCGCATTCAAACGCCACTACGAATGTACAAATGGAAGTAGAATGCGTGCCGCATCCCAAAAAGGGATTGATCAACGGCAAATGCTTTATCCTTTTTTTATCCCTGATCGGTGTTCGAACGCTGGTCCAAATCTGCATTCCATATCTTCTGAACGATTCTCTGAACAAACTACAGCTTGTTATGATGCAGAGGAGGTCCAACTCCAGCACGAATAGATACGCATCCCTATTTGGATGTGGACCGGTGGCTCAGCAGATGATACGCCGGTCTCATACCTGCTAGCCCAAGGCTGTATCCACGATATTCGCACCGCTATGAAACCTGATATTGCCAAAAACAGCTGTTTGCGAAGAAACTAAACCGTTTCGGACAATTCAGTTAGTGAATTCTTCTGATCGCGTCTTTGTCTGGCACACCAAACAAGTTAAACGTCAAAATTTGAGGAAAATCTATGGGGGGAAAATGGTATGTTGAGGAAGAATTTCGTAATCATACCGCATCACAATCTCGCGTTCTACCACTGCACAAGTTAGTGGCCTCAAAGAAGACTCAGGAACTTGCTCTCATGTCGCGCACAGCAGGCGTTTTCGCATCAAACAAGTGCGATTTTCGTGTATAGGAGCTC